AGCAGGAAGGCTCTCTCACCCCACAGACCTGTGCTCTCTGTACCCTGACAGAGCAGGAAGGCTCTCTCACCCCACAGACCTGTGCTCTCTGTACCCTGACAGAGCAGGAAGGCTCTCTCACCCCACAGACCTGTGCTCTCTGTGCCCCAATAACTCAGGAATTCTCTCTCACCTGTAAAGCAGCTTTTTGTTGAGCTGCGATGTGTTGCTGCTCTGCGTGATCTCGGAAATCCTTATTCACAGCAGGTCTTGAGAGAGGAATGCTGTGTCCAAGAGAAACAAAACCAGAATTTGAAAAACTGTCCCAGCATCTTCTCCGAGGCTGTTGGCCGTTCAAGAGTCACATACCAACACATATCAACCGTTTCATTGCTCCAACCTTATTAGGCACTAACAGCTTTTATCCCACTGAGACAATCAGAACAATAAGATCAAATAAAAATTTGTATGGCTGTGTTGTACTAGACAGGTAATTACACTGAAGTGAGATGCATAGAAAAATCACTGATGTCAAAATCCAAGCATTCATATATCCTTCAGCAAGTGATCTATGATGAATGTGAAAGCTTTGTAGATCCCCAAAAGCAGTATTTGATCTGGAAATCTGACACATAGATTTGAAATAGGGATGTCCATTTCTGATTTTTTTTCTTTTTTATCACCGATAGTCAACAATTGTTAATTGACTATTAACCGTTAACCGATAAGAAAAAACATACTATTTAGAATGAATGCATCCGTCACCCAATACCAAAATACGAACACAAAAAATGCTTTAGTAATTAGAAGTGCTTTATTTTTTTCCAAGTGCAAACACTTCATGACTTATGGAAATAATTATCAACAAGTTGTCAGACTTTGCAATGTGCAAAAGATTTTTCAAAATGAACCATTTACCTATAATGGACAGCTTGTTTACACAGAAAAAGCAGCATGTCGACATGTTGAGGGGATTGGCTTGTGCGCAGTCTATTGACTGAGACCAGTGAGAGAGAAATACCCGCTCAGAAGGCACTGATGTCCCCAGTATGCAAAGATAACGCCTAGCCAGAGTGGCCAGCCTCGGGAAACAAGTCTGATTAGTTTCACCCTCATGAACTGATAGGCTATGTATTCAAGCGTATTTTAATTTAATCCTCTATGTTCTATGCATTTACCACACTGCAAATGTTTAACATTAATACTGTCAGTTATTACTATCAATCGGTTGAAATTATTCTTTTCGGATATCGGTTAAACGGTGAATTATTAACACCCCCAATCTGAAAACTGTAAATAAGGACAGGCTTAGCACAATGTCAATAAGTAAGGACTGAATTTTATTATTCTGCTGCACAAATATGTGGACTGGAAGCAAGGTGTAAAGGCATGTTCGTCACCTGGCCCCCGGACTGTTCATGGTCTGATTCTGGATCAGTCGTCTTTTCTCCTTATCCAGCTCAGCTAGAATAGCCACTCGGTTTTTGTTCTGAAAACCTGTCAATGGGTTACATTCTGATTAATGACAAAGACTGCAAAAAACCATGAGGTCACACAAAACACCGACAAAATATGAGTGACTGAAACAGAAGTGTCCCACAGAGAATGACAAAGGAATTGCACGTCTGTGTGCCAGCGTTTTAAACACACACCGGTGCTTGTATATTTACTTCCAGTAAAAAGTTCAATCCTATAGAACCTGTATAGAAAAAATGGACAAAGGAGCCAAAGAAATCCACAAGCAACATGAATCTGGGCACTGCTGAAGAAAAGCTTCCATGATGGATATGTTAACCAACAACCCAGTCTGTCTAAAGATGTAAGCAAGGAAAATAGTCAAAGATGTATATTTACTTTATTACTTAATTTAGACACAATTTTCATTTTTCTGGTACGTTTTATACTGCAATTTTTTTCAGATTAAATTATTTACCAAAAAACAGCATCTAAACCACTGAGAAATACTAGTTTCCCACAAGGGTAATCTCTTTTTTTTTTCCTGAGTATGGGTTTTTTTCATGCCACACTTAACACATCTTAACACAGACTTGCACTTTACAGCATGCAGTGGCGAAGATGGAACATTTTCAGTGGGGTAGCCAAGGTGGGAGCAGAAGTCATTTGGGGGGGCACATACATCTAAATATGAATGTAAAGCATCTAGAAAACAAGGGAATATTTAAGGTCCCTAAACGGTATAACTCTACATTGATCATAATGCGGGCAGTGGTGGAATTATCAAATACACATTTAATGTATCGATTTCTTGCAGTTAAGGTAACAAACTAACACTAAGTATAAGATTCCGCATTAGTGCTGTTCTGAGAGCACATGTTTAGCTCAGCAGCACTATGAGCTCATTCTTTATTAGTATAAAGAAACAGAAACAGTTCCGTAATAAAATGAGTTTTTTTTTAATCAAAATCTTATTTAACCAAAATGCGAATACGACAGGGGTTGCCAGGTTTCACTGCCTCCCCAGATCCGCGTATGACAGCACGTATGTCATCCAGAAAAAGCCTTAAAACATGACTATTTCTGAAGTGTCCCTTCAGCATCTTTGACCAAATGCAAGCATGTCACTAGTAAGCATATGCTACTAACAAGAACGAAGACACACTTTCAGAAGTCGGTCTCAGGTTATACCAAAAGAGAAAAGCCAGTTAATCGATTCATCTTTAAATAAACTAACAACCTATGAAGTGTCACTCACCCTGGCCAGGAGGATTTGAGGTCATCTCTTCAGATTAGCAACATCAGCACCTGGAAATGTATAAATGTGTAAAATAAAAAGGTACACAACAAACCATCACATTTTCTGCGTGAAATTGCCAGCAAACCAAAACATATAACCATCTGTTTACATCGAACACAAACATTACAAACGAGGGTG